ACACACACACACACACACACACACACACACACACACACAGTCATAAAGGTTTACAGTCTGTACATTAGACTTACCTTGTCGACGTCTTCTCGGCTCAGTCCTAACACACTGCCCATGAGCCGGAGCACATCAGCCCTCTTGGYTTTAGGTGTGTGAAAATAACCCAGGAACAGGTTGCGCATCAGGACCCTGCAGACACAACAACAGTGTTCTGGACCAGGACGATTCAAACACTGACACAGAGGTTGTCTTCTTCTGCAGCTGCAGGGTTAATCAAGCACACAGATAAATCTTAGTGCACCTTTACYAACTGTCAGGTTTAAACAGTTATTAGTCTGAAGGAACATAAAGAAGGTTTAGTTTGACATGTTTTACTGTTCATCACCACTGCTGGAGGCCAAGGTGGAGGACAACAGCTCCTGTCTGTTTCTGAGTGTTTGTGTTAGCAAAATGAATGAATGTAAAACTGAGACTGCACAAAACCTTCTGCTAATGATGAGTCAGCGTTTTAACACCTGTCTCTTCCTGGTTCCACTGAGGAAGGTGGGAACCTTACGGTCACATGTTAGAACGTAACAAACCTGTGTTTACACACAGGAGAACTCTCACTGTTCAAACCTTACAGCTGCTGCGATCAGAAAAACTGGATTAAACATTCAGTTCATCTGAACATTTCCTTCAAATTACTCAGTTCATCTGAACATTTCCTTCAAATTACTCAGTTCATCTGAACATTTCCTTCAAATTACTCAGTTCATCTGAACACTTCCTTCAAATTACTCAGTTCATCTGAACACTTCCTTCAAATTACTCAGTTCATCTGAACACTTCCTTCAAATTACTCAGTTCATCTGAACATTTCCTTCAAATTACAGGCTTTGATCTTTACTTTCTTACAGTTTCATTACATTTTAAAAAGGTTTAGTAGTTGAAGTGGTGATGAACATTTATTCACATCATGGAGTTTCTACTGAAACTCTAATTTATTGGTTTTAAAAATCTTTAAATAATCCCAGGTGAGACACAGACGATGTGCTTCAGTCAGATAACTGATAACCTGACGCAGCATGGATTATAAATCTGACTCAGATTAGATTAAATGMCAGGATGTCAGATTTAAACAACAGTCACTTACTTGTCTATCTTCCCCTCTGAGCTGTTCAGAAGATTCATCAGTTTCCTTTGTGCCTCTTCCAACATCTCCTGCCTCACATCCACTGCACAACACAGACACACAACACAGTGAGCACAGCACAGTGAACACAGTGAACACAACACAGACACACAACACAGTGAGCACAGCACAGTGAACACAGTGAACACAACACAGACACACAACACAGTGAGCACAGCACAGTGAACACAGTGAACACAACACAGACACACAACACAGTGAGCACAGCACAGTGAACACAGTGAACACAACACAGACACACAACACAGTGAGCACAGCACAGTGAACACAGTGAACACAACACAGACACACAACACAGTGAGCACAGCACAGTGAACACAGTGAACACAACACAGACACACAACACAGTGAGCACAGCAC